ATAGAATATTTGTGTGAAGAGATTGTTAAACAGGAATTTCCTATCGGCATGCGATCGGAGACCTAAAAGAACTACTCTTCCGCTGTACGTTAAACGTGCAATTCAGCTTTAATGTACAATTTTACCGCCAAATCGATGCTGTAGCGATGGGATCACCACTGCGTATCATGGGTATCATCGCTGTACTTAAACAATCCAAGAATAGTAGTTTATAGCTTATTCTATAGCGTAATAAAATAAACTGGTTGGGGGAAACACCCGAGAATTAAAAAGCAACCGAAATACCAATTACAAAACCCAAAATCCACTTGCAGTTATTAAAGAATATGTAATTTTCTTAGTAATAAGAAAACTACATTAACACTTTCCGTAGCCTGACTTTGCCCCGATTTCCTCTTTTTTTTGTCGCGCGCATGAAAAGACAAGCTGTAGAATAGTAATCAACATCAACATTTCTAAATACAATAAGTAAAAGAACAACAACCATTCCACAAAGTTATAATAAGAAATAGAAATGCACATGAATTAGCCGATCAACGCACATCACGGTGTCGTATGCTGTGGTAGGCAGTTCAACCCATCGGCTTCACTCCCTCAATTTCGGATTTTGAACCCGCCAAGGAAGCTACGAGGATTACATACACTCCTCCCCCCCCCCGAAAATGATATAGCCGATTCCAGGTTCAAGGAGCTGGCGAATTAGAGCGGAAAATGTCCTACGCTCGCGACTGGACCCTCAGCAACCGTTACGACCATGCCAGACCGCTTAGGTGTTCTTGATCAGTGAAGGCATTTATGAGAGAAGTGACTGTGTGTGCGTTGTGTGTGTTTGATGTTTCGCGCGTGTAAAACCCTCACTCACCTGTGATGAAGTTAGACTCCAGATTGAGAACCTCCAGATCGTGGTTGACCTTAAGGGGAAGGATGAAGGGCTCTACCATCGCGGAGGTGATATTGGTTGCCGCCATGTGCAGTTCCTTTAACTTTGTGTTCTCGCCCAGAGCGGTGGCGAGACGGGAGAGTTGTTCCGCGCTGATGTTCTTGATATTGTTCAGGTTCAGGACTGTCAGGCCCTCGTCATTGTTTGTCAGCCTTGTGATGCTTTCCTGCAGAACAAAAAAGAAAAGATAAGTGAGACGAGAGGGCAGGGGAGGTGACAAGTGTTCTTATCAGACCACAAAACGCCCTTAAAACACACAAGACACCTAATAAATTACTCCGCTACTGGGAAGTGTCTACCAAAGCACATTTTACTGGGTCAATTGCCGGGAGAATTGAGGGTGGGGGGTATTGCTAAGTCATTCAAGTCCTTTGACGTTCAATCTGCAGCAGGAAGCATGGAGTGTCCTCGTGGAGTTAGGTGCGATCTGCACAGCGTTGGACTTCTGACCAACAGGTGACGGGTTTGAACCTCGGGTGGTGTACCACTTGGGATTAAGTATGCCTGGCTGTTGACGGTTAACAAGCCACAAATGATCATTGCAGTCCCCCATGTCTTTGTCGGTAGTGTCTTTCTGCCTATAATATGCTTGCGGCTGCGAGACTGACCGCATATGCACTAATGTCAAAGAGTTTAGTCTTCACTATTGAGGCGGACGGCTACAATGCCTGTATACCTCCCCCCTTCATTCTTCGGTGCCGGCGGCCCTCAAAGTCATGTGTT